TGCAAATTTGACAAAGGGATTTGGCATCATGGGTCCTAAAGAGTTCTTTCCTTTACTTGACTTTGCCTTCATGCCCAAAAATGCCCTGTCATCAAAGTAAGTTTATATTTTGTTTATCTCTTGTAACCCAAGAAACATATTTGTCACTGTAGCAATCCGTTTGAACATGCTGGCACAAAAGATGTTGTCTTTGTAGCCATGTGTTTTTCCAGTTAAATGAAAGTATATCCGACAAGTGCCCAGAGCAACAACTGTCATTAATACCTAAATCAAACTGAAGCAGTATCTAGAAATCTAGTTAAAAACATATGGGTTTGTGCAGTTTGCAGGAGCAGTTGAGGCGGCTGTATCCTCGTCTAAAGGTCCTTGCATTTGGAGCCAAGCCTGACACCACCCTGCACACGTATCTGCCTTCGTTTCTGTCCCGGGCCACGCCGCACTGTCCAGACGACATGAAGAGAGAGGTGAAAAACACGTGTAAACATGAGTAGAGAACAACAGGTCGAGCCAGTTTAGATCCTTTTGATGAACTGTGGTTGGACACAGGCTTGGTAAATAAAGGAGATCAATCAATAGTTCAGTGTTTCCCACAAATTTCATTCAGATTATGGTGGCAAAAAAAAACCCCAAAAAACTAATATATGACTCATTTTCTTTCTGCAACTTGTGTGCCCTGTAAATTTCACTTATTACCTACATTTCATATATGAGCTGTATTTTTTTTTTAATGTTAATTACTTTTATGGCAAAGTCAAGGTTGTTTTTAGTCTCTTGTATTAATGGAAAGTATTGCTACCTCTCTATGACCATACCAGTCCTACCTAGATAATTTACCTAAACATTAGTTATTCTATTTTTCTTATAAACTTGGATTGCTCCTTTGAAATGTACAAAATTATTATACTGAAACCAGACATCCCTGTGTTAAACTTCTGTTTTGTGATTCCTTCTCTCTTTGCAGCTCCTCAGTAGTATGACAGAGTGCTTACGTGTGGACGTACAGAGTCTAGGAGTTTGGAGGCAGCTTTATACAAAACATTTACCACAGTCCAGGTAAGCTAAACACAACTCCACCTTCTCAAAGCTATAAGGACCCGATCTTACCAGTCTTAAAGTGCAAAGCGTGTGTATTAAGCATAACTTTGGCGCATTAAGGGTCTATGTAAATCCACTAGTGGGTCTAGTCTCAGCACCCGCAAGAAGATTAATGGAGATATAAAATATTAATAATTTCTTACGTGGATTAATGATAACCTCATCATTGTTTGTTAAAACATCAGAAAAAATCTTATTACAGTACTTTTGATGTTGAGCCTGCTTTAAATCGCCCTACATACAGCATTCTGGTTTAAAAGTCCAGTTTTTCTTTTCATTTCACATTTCTTATGCATGGACTTTTAAAAAGTTTTTTTTTTTTTTTTTAGTTTATAGCAGTGTATTAATTGTGATAACTATATGTAAACACATTCTTGTAAATGGCCCATATTGCTTAGGAGTGCATTAATATATTAGATGTAATCAGTTTCATAGCGAGGCCTATTTAATGCTCTAATGTGCACCTGCTTAGGGCCTTATTTTCATATGACACTTCTGTTTTATGATAAATAAATGATAAATGACACGAGAGTGGATATAGTGTGAAATGTCCACCACCTGCTGTGCGCTGTATGGAAGATCAGACCCTAAATGTATGTAAATGTTGTATTTGCTCATTCATTTTCTCCTCCTATATCTTCAGCCTATTGTTAAACCATTTACTTAAGTCCTGGAACACTCTCCCACCAAAGGTATTACTCATTTTGTTTTGACACATACAACTTCCTTATAAAGAGACGTTTGTAATAATTGTAGTGCTTTTACTGGTTTAGCTGAGGAAAAACCTGGGTGAGACAATCCAGTCTTTCAGAATTACCAATGAAGAGATGAAAGGCAGCATTGAGTCTGAGGAGCTTCAGGAGTGCAATCATCTTTGTCAGGTGAAGCTTACAGCCCGGACGTACATTACACAATCAAAAACAGACCATCAGATAATTTTAATGACATCCAATACATCAAAAATCAAATCACATTCTAAAGCTAATGTCCATTTCTTTTTGGGCTCCAGAATCTGCAGGTGAAGATGAAGGGCCGAGGGTTTCCGTGGTCCAAACTCTTCATGGTTCTGTTTGTGTTTGTGGCTGGTTTCATCACTCATGACATCAGATCACACGGCTCTTTTACAGGTTGGCACAAACCAAGAAAGTTTTGTACAGGGTTTACATCTAGACATATATGTATATATTCTTGCTTTTTTCCTTTCAGATTCGACCACAGCCTTGTATCTACGTAACTCAGGCATCACTGCGGTATCTCAACAGGCGTGGGGCAAAATCACAGTTTACTCAAAAGAAGGCTTCAGGTACAATCTAATAAGTATTGTAGAAGGAAAAATGTATGTGGTTGACAAACACACAGTAAAGATGCACATGGATGATTTTAATCTTAAATTTAAAAGCTAAAAGAACAAATGCAATTCTCATCAAAAACAAAAGTAATGTTGCCTACATTTTAGGTTGTGAGATATTTACATTATTATTTGCATTCTGAGCTGGTTAGAAGCATGACATTTCCCAAATACTTGACTTTATTCAAATATCCGATTTAATTTGTGTGTGTTTGTGTTGTCTCTGCAGCTGGTTGGAGAAAAACACTCCATATTATTACTCTGAGTGTGTGCGAGTGCTGGGCCCGCTGACAGAGCAGGGTTTAGAAAAGGCCAAAGCTGCAGCAGTTTACGTCTCAGAAAATACAACAAAGCTCATCCTCTGGGTGAAAGAAACAACGCCACTGGTCATTGAATGGGTGGGTCTCCTGGTCTTCTCACTTATCAGCCATTACATTATGACAATCTATCCACTGGCTTGTCTTCTGGACCAGACAATATGAGCTAACTCCTATGATGAGATCTTATTTCATTACTGTGGGATTTGGGGATGCTGTCACCCAGTTGTTCAAGTTTTCCCTACAACATTTATGCTTAATTTACTCACCAAGAACAGGTGGCAGTAAAACGGGTGTTTAAACAGATGTTATGCACTATGGCCAATGAGCAAAGTATACAAACTTAATATTTCCTTGTGTTTGTGCAGGTAAATACAAACACTCCTGACAGTGTATTCAGAGCATTGGAGTATTTAAAGGAGCTGCTCCTCTTCATCCATCAGAACTACATCCTCCCAGCACTGGCCTATATGTCTGAGGTGTTACAGAGAGCATGGGCCAGCCTACAGGAGTCCTGCAAGTCAGTATTTAGGCATGCCACAATGCCACACTTTATCTCGGTTGTATCAAATATTAGACCCTCACAATACGACAATAGAATGCACAATTTGAATGTAAGTGAGATTCAAAAAACAACTGAGTGAACCACTCAAAATGCAAATGCCCTGTATCTTGTATGCAAACACAAGTGTGGACATATTTAACAGTATGAGGGGCATGATATGTTATTTGATGTAAGTCTGTAAATATTTAGAACATCATAATTGTTTTGTACGGGTGTTTTATTTGAGCATAGCCTAAGTCATCATGTTCCCAAACTGCAGTATGTGTGCTGGCTCAGGTGGTACAGTGCCCTCTACAGGTTTGAGTATTAGTTTATTTGGTGAATTATTTATAACAACTTATCCATGGTTTAGTCTCATTTTAGACGATGTTTAGCATTAATTTAGGCAGGATATAGTTTGGGGGTAGATTCGATAGTACTCTGAAAGTCAGATATTTTCTATGTGGTACTAAATGATGTCTTGTCTTCTGATCTGCAGTGGTGAAGTGTCAGTATCGTGTCTGCAGGGCCATGCTGTGGCCTTCACAAACTCTACATGGCAACTACTGCAGCACACGACATCTGCCATCAAGACCTGGGCCCAGGACCTCCTCACACGAGCCTAACACACACACACACTCTGACCCCACCTGACCCTGAGGGACGTGGTCCCTCTGAACCGTTAGCAGAGACTGGGCTGAAATAAGTGAAACTCACTTGAAAAAGACCCTCTTTCCTCCTGTTCCTCTTTAGACATTTTTTTTCTACCAATCTTTTTGTCACTGCTGGAAGCAGAGGTTGTTCCTCTCTAAGTTTTCTACTACTTTTTCTCAACTTTCCTTTTTAACCTCTGGGTTGAGACTAATTTATAGAAACTATAGGTTTGTAGATTGTTTATAGACCATTTTATTTAAAAGATTTATAAAGCGTTTTCTTAAAAATAAGTGAAAGGGCAGGGCAATGACCAAATAAAGAATTCCAGACTTTTCCGAGCCACTGAAGGCACCAGCTGCAAACCATGGGGCCACATTTCTGTTGTCACTATTAACCATAAATTACTTCAGGTATCAGTATTTCTGCATTTTTAACTTTGAATAATGTTTGTCAATATATTATGGTCATATCTGCTGGTGCATATATTTATTCAGATGAATTTATTCTGGATTCTTACAGAAGAAGGAACTTACCAGCTATCTGTTCTCATCTTTGTCTTGCAAAATACTTTCTCTCTTTCTGCTGCTTCTCTAGTCCAGAGCTCATACTTGAAGGTTATTGAGTTTTATCTGTGTTTTCAGTGATACATTTTGTGCCAATGTGGCACACCTGTTGGCCTCAGACAAAACCAAACGGTTCTGATCATCGAACTTTCTCTGTGAACATGTTTGAACAGTTATGACAATGTCTTACTTTGTGTTATTAATTTGTAATAAAGGCCTAAACTAAGTCTCTCAATTTTCTTTTATCATTAGACTGAATTCTTGAGACTAACATTGTAGCGAATATGCCTACATTATACTATAACATTACATGCAAGATTGCCTTGAGTCTGGATTAGTGTTTTCAACCTGGCTTCGTGTTGTGATTTCTTAAGAGACAAATTCTTAACTCAAAGTTTCTGTACCCCCTCTTGCTTGTCCTTTGGCACTGAAGTGTTTTGACAGATTGTGAAATGCCCATAGTAAGGAACATGCTATACTTTTCCCAAGTTACATTTCATTTTATTGTTTTGATGTCTGAATTAGCATTTTTTCTGTATTTGTTGATATGATAACATTGCTCAGTAGGTGGTGTTGATTGGCACAATTTTCTCTGTATCAAGTAAATCTGAACATGCATAGACTGAGACGTAGAGAAAGAAATCAGCCAAATTATGCTTTCAAAGAAACAAAGGCAAAGCCAATATTTAAACATACTTTTGCATCATGAATCTAACTTAACCCTGCTTTGTTCATTAAAAATAACCCTTTTAGACTTCTGTTATGTCAATATTAGTAGCAACATGAGTCAATCAGCAAATTGAAAATCCCAGTGCTGTCCCTCATTGGATCAAGTCTGCTCCAAAAATCTTCAGAAGTCCTCGTTAGTGAAGATGCAGCAAGAGGCAGCCGGTAGAAGCAGCAAAGAGGGTCCTGTTCAGAGATCTGACTGAGAGAGTTCACAAGATCTGCTCTTTTCACTTTACATGAAATCATCTGAGTCGTAGCCATCCTGTATGGATGGAAACAGTCAATCAGGAGTTCATCTTTTATTGCTAAATCCTTACAAGAAATGCTTACCTCATTTGTTTGCATATTCTCAGACTTCATTAATGATGTATAATTTCTAAAAATATAGTATTTATAAAGTTAGTCCACACTCATTAGTCAAAATAGCTAAAAAGTCATTTAAAGGGCCAACTTTCCAAAAGAAAAATAACACTACTATATTAATAGTGACTGTTATAGACAACTTAAATTATATAATAATTTGGGCAGTGATGCTGACACAAGTGTTTCTCGCAATATTTCTGAACATATCTCTCGATCACTGGGGATACCCTTGAAAATGAAATGATACACCTCAAGAGGTTATCCCTCTTCATAAATAAATGTCTAATAAATGTCAAACAATAACTATCACAAACCTGAGCTCCTCCATCTCCTTTTTCTTCTTCTGCTCCTCCTTCTCTTTCCTCTTCTGCTCCTGTAGTTGTGCTTTTTTCTCGTTCCTCTCCTCTTGGTCTCTGGACTCTTTCTCTGCTGCCAGGTCTGGGAAGCGCTCCACTTTGGTCTTCTCCAAGCGGTTTACAATTTCATTTACTTTCTTTTCCACAGCTACAAGTTTTACCTGGGCAAAAATTTTGTGTTGTTGTTATATGCATAAAGTGTGGTAAAAGAGGCATGGGATACAGAGCTTACAAACCTCTCTTTGTTTGTGGAAACCAATCTGTCCCACATCCATGTCTCCGGTCTTCTTTAGATTTGCCCATGGCGTATAAACCACATTAATATTGTTCATTTTGCAGCCTAGACACAGCAAGCATTGTAATTATTAGAGTTAGAATGTATTTAAAGAAGATGTTTTGTTCACAACCAAAAAATTGTTCTATTGTTGAATACATTTTAACCCTACATGTGTGACCCAGAATTTGATTAATGAGTGAATATAGGGGGTATGTGAAGACTGAATTTTTTTTTATGACAATGTAATGCATAAATCAATCGCAATATTTTTGAGTAAGCTAATGGTAAGGAAACATAAATGCTCATAAAATATAATTAGCAATATGTACCTTGAATGCTGTTGTTTTTCACCAGCTGTGCACAGTCTATTAGAACTTCAGATGGAATGTCATTTATAGTATGTCCCTAGAAAATTCAGGCATATTTAGTAATCACATCACAGTAATCACACTGCAGTAACACTACATTATGGATCCTCCTACCTTTGGCAGTCTTAGATAAACGTGTGCAGAAGACAGCTTGTCAACATGAAACCTACGTAAACAAAATACGTTATTGTAATACATTTATAATATACTTCTTTATACGATTGTGGAATTTATTTAGGTCTGGTTAGAATACAAAATATAAAAAAAAACCTTACCATATGTCTTCAGGCCATCCATACTTTATTAAATCCTCGTCTGTGTTAATTACAAAGAATATATGTGTCAGTAGTGTTCAGTTTCAGAAAAAGCACAAATTAAATGATTAGACTGACTTACTCTCATATTTATCCTTCCCCATGTATATAGTGTAAGGAGGATTCACCACTGTAGAAACAAGAGCATCACATGAGTTATAAATCGTTAATAAAAGACTGATGAAGGAATGCTCCGAGTGCTACCCCAAAGCTAAGATCACTGCCGCTAACTTACTCACCGGCGCTTGTAAAGTAAAACACCATCTTATCTGAATGAAAAATTGCTCATAAGCGAATAAAAGTAAAACTGGAACAGCTCTGAGTTTTAAATGGGTGACAGAAGAGACAAAAGCAGTGGATTTTGAGTAAAAGCCCGTGCTGTCACTTTTATCACGTTGAACTGGAAGTTGTTGTTTAGCTTCTTCTACATTCAGTTTTCGCAAACGATCTACGGCAAATCGACACATAGCCCCCTCTAGTGGCACACTTAGCTTTCCATTTTTATGTTGATCTATTTAAATGTATAAAAATAAATTATATATTTCTTTGTTTTAAACAAAAGTAGAATCTATTATCGGTTTAGTAGTGAATTTAAAAATAAAACAACTATTAAAAAAAACGTCAATTTGCTACTTAAAATGACATCAGTTCCGCTTCCTTTGGCGCAGTTTTTTTTCATTGCTAGCGCGCGCTCTTCAAAACACATAGAAGAAACGCGGGTTGAAAACAGGATAATAGCCCGTATTCAGGATAATCTTCTGATTAAAGATTTATAACGTCTAACGGTAAGAGTACTATCCTTCACTTTAGACGAACTAACATCTAAGACACTTTGGTTAAGTACGGGGTTTGTATTTTTTGCGTTATATGCCGCTGTTACGCTAACACCTGTTCGTTGTGTCTCGTCGGGAATTACAAAACTGCATCTTTCATCGCAGTGGAGCTGATCATAAAAAGAAGAAATATTAGTTGAACGTCCAAAAGAGGACAGCAATAACCACTGCGTTTGTTCCTCTGTAAAGATGTGTGCTGGTATATGAGTACCATAGATTTATTTCATAAACTTTACATCCCGCCATTTGCCTGTTACTAAACTTTTGTTGCTCGCAACAATATTGTGTGAACAACTGCCTTCCTTTCTTCCTGAACAGTAAATGCTTTTTGCTTATGCATTTGACTTATGGAATTGATCTCTACCATATATTGTATTACATGCATCAAACATACCATATATTTGCAGGTTTGTCAGAAATGATGCCACTGACCAGGAAGAGAAAGCTCTCCTCTCAGGATTCTGACAGGTGAGACTTGAAGTCCTGATAAATCTTTTCTTTGTCAGAGTACCTTTGTACTTCATATTAAAGTCTGTGTTTCTGTCAGTCATCCTGCCAAAAAGGGCATGAATAAGATGTCTCCAGTCAAGAGAAGGTCTCCCAGGAAGCCTGCCAGGTCTCCTAAAAAGAGGAACCCATCAGTGGAATGCACAGAAAAGGAGAACTGTCCATCACCACATAAATCCCCACAGAGATTACCAGGTAGAGATGGACAATGAACTCTGTTTAGGCAATTATTATTAGTATTACTAAACATTCAACAATAATTTAGTAAAATAGCTATATATGCTGAATTAAGACTTTCATTCTGTTTCCTTGTCAGCATCACCAGCTAAATCTCCCCGCAAAACATCTCCATTTAAACCTAAGGTGATTTCAAGCTCATTCTACAGCAAACACAAGACAGTCTATCTCACACCACTGGAGAGGAAGAAAGTTAAAGAATCTTTGCCCTCTCCTCCACCTCTGCCTTCCTCTCCATCATCTGAGGGTAAAAAGACTGTCACAGTCATCAAGAAGGACACTAAAGGAGGCAAGAAGATCAAAAAATTGCCCACAGATTCTAAGAATAACGTCAAAAATGGAATTAAGCGATTTGCAACTTCAACAAATGCTGTCAAGGTTTCCACACTTAACAACAAGTATGTTTTTAAGTGCATCATTATTTCCAAAATTCCTAAAAATCCCAGTATCTTAATATTTCTCATGACTAAATGCAGTTAACAGAAATCTCAGAAATGTTAAATTAATTGACCATATTATTGTATTTGCTAGCTACAGCGCCAAAGCACCTGTGCCACCAGAGACAAAGAAAGGGATCACTTTTACTTTCAGCAATGGAAAGCCCAAACCCAAACTCTTTGTTGGAGCTGCGTTCTTTGGTACTGGAAAGAAACCAACATCAATGTACAAGAAATCTGCCCCTAAGTCCTCAAATGGGCCCAAGAAAAACAAGACATCTGCACCCGCACCACCACTTAAGACCGAGAAACCACAGCCTCCACCTACTCTGGAAACACAGCAAGAGGTGTGTAAATCATCGTAGGCATCAATAGTGAGCTTATTATACTTTTACATTTTTAAATATTTTTCCAGATGACTGAGAAATTACCACACAAGACAGAGACTGAGGCAAACTCCAAACAACTGAGAAAGTTTGATCCTTTAGACTGGGTTGATTCAGTTGATGAAATCGTGGACTTTTCAACTCTAACACCTGAAAGGTAAGAACCCATAACAGTCATGCATTAACCATAACTGCATCACCATCCTGTTAACCCATATTTTTTAGGCCCTCCAAAGAGAAATTTAGTGTCCCCAAAGAACTGTCCGTCGTGCTGTTGAGGAGCCCAGAGGCAGAATCTCAGGCACTGTCTCTCTTCAAATCCCAGGTAAGTACCCATAGAGGCTCTACAATAGTGCAGACAGTGTTAGATGGGTGAAACTGATTACAACTGTATTGTATCGTTCTTAATGACTGGTGTTTTTTCCTCAGGAGGAGTCGATGGCAGATGTTAGCTCAGAGTCTGTATTTGACCTCAGTGACATAAACCCCATGAACGGTGAGTCAAGCCCAGCCAAAGGTTTGCCAAAGTACACTTTACTTTGTTAATTAGAAGAAACTTTTTGTGTGTGAGCATTATTAAGATATTTCCTCTTTAATTTTCATCAATGTTGTAGGCGTGTATCCCATATTTGGATCTGCCTCCAAAAAGTAAGCACTTATGTTGGAAAAATATATGTAATAGAGTTTAACAAAAAACAATTAAATCACTCACAATCTCTTAAATGCACAAACAGGTCGAAGGTGGCAGCTTTGAGATCTCCTCTGTCCTGCAGTACCCCCTCTGGTCCAGTCTTGACACTGCAGTCCATTGCAGTGACTAAGGAGAGGGCCCTGAGGAAGAGGAAAGACAAGCAGGATGAAGATCAGCTCATTATTGTAAGTTTATCACCAAACTACGTGGAAAATAAAAAATGCAACTTGATCTGTTTTTAGATGCTTACTTTCATTTTTGGTACATCAGGATGCAGGTCAAAAGCAGTTTGGTGCTACCAGCTGCAGCTCTTGTGGGATGGTGTACAGCGCAGACAATCCAGAGGACAACTTCCAGCACACCCAGTTTCATCAGAGATTCCTTGATGCCATCAGATATGTGGTAATATTTTCTGTTGGATTTCTTTTGGCCCATGCTTTTATGGTTGCAAGTTAAGAACTATACCTCTCTCTACAACAAGGTGTATATATACATTGTGTGTCTCGATTTTCAGGGCTGGAAAAAGGAGCGTGTAGTGGCAGAATTCTGGGATGGAAAAATCATTTTGGTGATGCCTGATGATCCGAAATATGCCGTCAAAAAAGTAATTGTCATATCTTTTTATTCTATACAAACATATTTATAAATATTAAAATTGTATCTGTCATTTCAGGCAGAGGAAGTGCGTCAGGTAGCGGACAATGAATTGGGTTTCCAGCAAGTGTCGCTGTCCAGACCAGCTCAGGCCAAGACCTACCTCTTCATCAACTCTGAGAAAATGGTTGTGGGGTGTCTAGTTGCAGAGCCAATTCGACAGGTATAAATATTACACTTGTAGTCCTCTTGTCCAGTGATATTTTGAGTGATATCACATTTGAATAATCTTGAATTGCACTGCATTCAAGGCTTGAGTGGTCAGAAAATTAAAATTTTCACCTACGTCCAATCTTCGTCCATTTCTTCCTAATTGCTACTATTCAAAGATTTCATACACATACAGGGTTCTGAAATGTCACGTTTTTCAACAATAAAAACGCGCACAGGTGAAGTCATTGGACCTGTTTCGAGCATTAGTAGTTTATAGATCAAATAATGTGGTTAACGATGAATTAAATGTAGAATACTCAGCAAAAATCCTAATGTTTTCCTGAAGGCATTTCGAGTGTTGGAGCAGCCGGATCAGGAGAAGGACATGACCAAAGATGACTTCATGGAGCGTCACAGAGCCTGGTGTTGCTCCACTGTTCCAGAGCAGGCCCTCTGTGGAATCAGCCGAATCTGGGTCTTCAGCCTAGCCCGGCGCCAAGGCATCGCTACTCGCATGCTGGACACTGTCAGGTAGCAGCACTACTAATAAGTCTTAGTTGGTAGCGTGGTCAATGTATTAGAATAATATTTCTACCAGCCCTTTTCTGTCAAGAGATTTAAATTTATGCCTGGTAATTTACTTTTTTCTTTTTCTTTTCTTGATTTTTAGGAGCACCTTCATGTACGGAAGTCACTTGACAAAAGAAGAGATTGCTTTTTCAGATCCAACACCAGATGGTAAACTGTTTGCGACAAAGTACTCCAACACACCAGCCTTCCTCGTCTACAACTTCATTTCTTAACTTTTGTTGAAACAACTTTCAGACTGAGTTAAAGGTACATGGATCTGCAAGGCTGATTAAAATCACCAATTCAATGTTCAGATTTGTACATTTAGTTCACTTGTTAATGTTAAACAGACCATTATGTTCAAGAGTAATATTTCAACGTTTTTGTCAAGTTTGGTTTATCAGTATTTATTCAGAGCTGCACTTTTCAGAATGTTTTGTGTATATAGCAGCAGTACATTTTGTTCAAATGTGTAAATATTTTAAGTACAATTGTTTCCTCTGTAGGCCAGGCCCTTTTTGAATGTTAGTCCAATAAAACAGTGTATTCCTTTCGGCCAAATCCTAAAAGAGCTGATTGGCAATCTTTTTTAGACCAACTTTACCAAAAGAATTTTTTTGTTTTTGTTTTAGCTGGCAGCAGACCTGTTTAAAAACACAATTGTGTGCTGCATCATATTGCTAATAAACCTATATTTTATGAATGTGTGCTAGTTTCTTGGGGAAAAACACATGTCCAATATGGTTACTCTAGTGTCAGTCACTAAACTGGCTTCTCTTCTCCTGTTATACAATAACTTATTGTAATCCTGTCATTCATAACACTTCAAGTACGAATGAAAATAGGATTATAACTAAAGTGGTTTTATTCAAGACAAGACAAAGTATAGCATTACTCAATTCATTTAATAAAATATGTTTCACTTAGATAAAATAGGATAAAGGGTTTCAGACATAAGGATTACTTCCAGATTTGAAAGATTTCAAAATTGTAATTGTATTCATAGATTTCAAGCAAATTATACAAAGACAGGAAGAGACTGAGCAAGATAGAAAATAGACAAAAAAATAAATTACATTTACATTAGATCAAGTAGATGGCTGTAGTTCAGTTCCAGGTCAGTCTATCACTATGACCTCAGGTTGTTGCTTATGACTTTTGTTGAGGAGGACGTTGCTCTCTAAGGCCTGGACAATCTGTGAGGCGGAGGGGCGTTTTTTAGGGTCCTCCTCAGTGCAGACGTAGAACAGCTCCACCATCCTCCTGTACGACGCACCCAGAGCCTCTGCATCCAGCGCAGGACGGGTCCCCAAGCGCTCGTAATATGAATCCTCGTCAAAACTCACCTCCTCTTCTGAGTCATCTGGGAAGAGGAAAAAGTTTTAAAATATAAAATTAGACTAAATTTATGTAGTACTGGATAAATGTACTGCAGTATTGCATATGATACTACTACAACTACTACTCTTAATTATCAAGACTTACAAAAACAGAAAAGAAACACAACAAATCAGGTAAAAGTAAAACTGAATCAGAGAATCAGAAGGCACTTAAAATTAATAAAAAAACAACAACAATTAAACATTTTTTGACTGATTTCCATTAGAATATTATCAAAAGACTAACTTTCGAATGGTAAAAATGTCCTCAAAATGGTGTATATAAACAGGAATTTGAAATAAATAACATTCTTCGCTCTATTGCAAATGACCTTCCCCAAAAAAAAGTTCTGTTAACCCTTAGTCCTACCTCCATCTTCCTCCTCTATTTGCTCCTCTTTGTCATCCAGCATCTCCAGGTGAGGCATGGACAGAGACATCATCTCCCACAGCGTCAGCCCGTACGCAAAAATGTCCGTCTTGTCAGAGATCTCTCCCCCCTCCATCACCTCCTTTGCGTTCCATGGCTCTGTGCCAATGTACTCCGCCTTTGGGTCTGACACTACAATGACATACAATTTATTTAATCTATTATGCAAATATGAGGGCATGTGATTACATTTAGAGAAGTGATAGGATTATCAATAAGTCTATAATAAAGCCGTTTGGAGACACACAACAAGGCCAGATTGAACCTGTCTGGACTACAGAGGAGGGATGGTGAATACTGTAGGTAGAAGGATGCTAAGATTAAAGCTAGCAACTAGAAGACTAATGCTACTATTCTTTCTCACCTTTCATGTTCTCATCCAGAAACAGAGATACACCCACATCACAGATCTTCACGGTCTCAAAGTCCCCTTTAATGACCACATTACAGGATTTCATGTCGCCATGTAGCAGCTTCTTTTCAGTGTGAAGATACTGTAAAACATTATTCCAGTTACTCTCAACATCTGATTTTGGGAGCCAGTTTTATTCCTGATCCCTAAATATTATAGAACAAAACGCATTTCTCTATAATTCCCCATAATTCCTACAGTCGTCCCATATTTTGATTAGTCAGGCTGGCGCCACCTAGTGTCTCCACTCAATTTCATTTCTCTCCAGCGACTAGGTGAGGAATCAGAATACACTAGACCATTCACAAACCCTGAAAGTGCGAGTTCGGGCACCAGTCAATCAACGAAGAGCCACACATTCTGTGTTGGCAACAATTCCCAGGAGGATTTAAAGCCGGAACAAAAAGAATGTTTGTTGAATTTTATCAAGGGGAAAGACGTTATGGCCCTTTTCCGAAGGGATTTGGGAAAAGCTTAATATAATAGTTAGCTCCGTTAGCTGTGCATTACATACATCAAGACCAAATAGCAGCGACTGGTTAAATGAAAAAAAGTACCTGCCTACTGTCGAGTGAATGAATCCTAATGGTGCGAGGTCAGACGGTTTCCACGAAGTAAAACCGGCTGATGAATCAGGCTATATTTTGATGACATACAGTGGAAAATCCAACCAACTAGAAAATCAAGACTTCAGATCCTGTTATAGCTGACATTTTGAAAACTTGTCACCATTCAAAACCATTTTTTTTTTACAGTGAATTATTAATTGCTACGAACAATAGTGTTAATTTTTTATCACTCTGAAACCCATGGATATACAGGCCCATGTTAGTTGTGAATCCCTTTATTTCCTGGTATAAAATCTGAATAGAAGCTTCTCATCGAAAACTGAAAATAAAATTAAGCTGACAGTGTTCATTATTGTTTACCTCCAGACCGCGAGCCACATGTAGCGCCACTTTTTCAATGTTAACTGCAGGAAAAGCCTTCAGACCCTCCTCTCTCCTCGTCTCAATCAGATCATTGAGTGACTGCTCTCCTCCATACTCCATGGCTAGACACTTGGATCCATCTTTAGCAGTGGCAACAGCACGAAAACCTAGACAACAATAAAAAAAGTCAATAAATAGTTGAAGTAATTGTATGTCCGAAAACCACTTCATTTCATAGCCAGATCTTTACACTACATGGAGTTTCTTCATTGAACCGATATTGACCTAATATGTAATACAAATTTACCAAAGTGTTTTCATGTCTGCTCTTACCAACAATATTAGGATGGTTAAGCTCCTTCAAGATCTTTGCCTCTTCATTGAGACGTTCCTGGTACAGTGCCACCTGCTTAGATGCACATTTACTATTGACCTTCTTCACAGCCCAGGGCGACAGGTTCAGCTTTCCCATCCTGTTGTTGTTGGGACAAAGATACTGAACTGTAAATTTATATAATAACTAACTAGGGCTGCACAGTACTGGAAAAGATTTGAGATATAGCTGCTAAGTACTGCACTATTTACATTTTTGCTCTATTTTACATTTTACATTTTATACTTTTTGACACAATAATTTCAGTTATAATGAAACTAAAATGTGCATATCTTGATTTATTGTGAGAATTTGTCACAAAAAATAAACATGAACACAAAGAAAAATAAATTGAGGCTAATTTAGGACTTAAAAAGGAGAATAAAAACACAGAAAAACAATACATTTCTGTTGGTTGGAGAACCTTGGTGTTATTCTGATATTTAGTTTGTTGCAATATCAACTATTGCGTAGGCCAATTCTGCAATATCAGTACTTTTGTAATAACCCTAATAACAGCCAAATGTAACTTATCCTACCTGTCCAAAAGGTAAACATTGACCCCAGTGCCACAGCCCAGTTTCTTCATGAAGGGTGAGGCGGGGATCGTGACAGGAGTACCACTGCCACTGCTCCCAGAGCTCCTCACACGGATGTTCCTGGGGGTTTTGAAAGGGCTGTTGCTTCCCGGTCTGGCAGGAGAATCCATTCTACAAGAGGAAATACACACAAAAACAGTAAGGACAAATCTGAACACACGCTATAGTAGACACAATACAAGACAGTGTTAAACATTCATTTAGCTAGATTATGGTACTTATTTGCCAGTAACCTAAACTTACATTCTTACATGAGCAGGGTCGCCTCTCCACTGTAATTCATGATGTCATCTGCTTACTATTCAGGTAAGGCAATGACATCTCTGAAGACCCAAGTTTGTGAGTTTGTTCAATGACAGTGAAGTGGGGGACCCTCTACCAGAACGGATACATAGTGCAGCTTTAATAGAGTGACCAAACGTTCCTATTTACCCGGGACAGTCCCAGTTTTGAGCCCTGCATCCCCTGTCCCAGCAGATTTATCCAAAACCAGTGATTTGTCCAAGTTTTATACAAGAAATGTCCCAGGTGTCCCTATTTTTGACCAATTTGACACCTGCGAACAGTAAAGAGAGGCATACATTGTCATTGGTTTAGATATAATACTAAAAATCTGCTTAAAAACGACCAAAACACAATGAAAATGTGACTCTATGGGTGACATGTTAGTCATGAATGGTCTCTGCATTATAATTTTCCTTGATTACGCACTCGTTCCACAATTTTATGATTACCAACCACCAAAAAACCGGGAATGTCCCAGTTTTTTTTTTTTTTTTTAAAATACTGGTCACCCAGTATTTTAGTTGACGCCTTTACTTAACCTTTTATTAACTGCCGGTGTTGGATTACGTTGTTCTTTGGTTAAATCGCCACAGTCTATAAACCCAGACCACTACATATCGTCATAAGATGTATATTACCTGTTTTAGAGTTAGTTTTTATCCCACGTTTTAACAGCAACTGCACTCCTCCAGACCGCAGCGGCGAAGATTCAAACTGATCCACTATGGGAGCCGCAATGGACCATACAGAGCGAAAGTCGAAGGTAGAAAATGCACATGAACACACAGTATGTCACCAGCAGAGGGCAGTATAAACCACAACATTGAATTATGGATTTGTGAATGTAAATTTTCCTTACATGAATTAAATTAAGCATCATTTCATTTTTTTGGAGTTTCATATTGGGAATTCACAAGATGTTATGCAAATAGCTTATAACAATGTCGTTAGCCTAATTGCATAATTGCTTAAGTCTTTTTTTTTTTTTTTTTTTTTGCCCAAACTGTGACATCTGCCTAACTTTACTCTCCTACCACTGCTGCATCACCCTGCCTTATTGCCTATCAGAACGCTTGTTAGAGTCTAAAATCTCTGTCTGCCTTAGTCATCTCTATACAATATCAATAAAAATACCAATGTGTTTGCTCAAAAATGTGTTTTTTCTTGTTTTTTCGAAAACTTTCAAATATGACTTAGGCAACTATGCCATTAGGCAAACAATATCTAAATTACAGTTTTCAACCCTACCCATTTTTAAATCACGAGTAGATGAGTTGTGGGTGGAAACAGGTGGTTGGTGAAAACTGAGCATTCAAGCCTTGAATCCAGGGTTATACAGGATTACATATACATGCATGAATCAATCCAAATCCAAGTTTTGATGAGGAAATACTGTTATAATATACACCATTGAAGCATTAGTATAGGGCAGTACGTAATAAGTTGCATATTAAACTTCTACTCCTAACTTAAAAACAAATTTGTTTATTAGACCCTTACATGGAGTTAAGACCCCTGAGGATTTTTGGTAACCATCCTTCACATTCTATTATACAGAGTTAAGATCTTACTTTATGTCTTAAGTATTTTTACCACACGCTGATTACAACAGTAATAGCCTACTGTTTTTGATAAATGTGGAGACAGTGATAATTTAAAGCTGCTAAACCACAACATCCCCACTGACGTTAGACACATGTTGGTAATAGAATCCTGTTAGGTTTGCGGTATTTTCACTAGCTTTAACCCGTGTATGCCTTCATGTCATGTCTATTGCTTGGAGACTGAAGAATGTCCTTGCTGTGGAGAAGATGACCCAGACGTTGACCTGTATGATCCCAACTGTTTCATCTCCACAGACTGCAGATGGCCTCAGTCTAGGATCTTGCAGCTAAATAAATGGCCCATTGTGACCGAGAGGAATGTGCATTGATGAGTAGACACAGACGGAAATACAGTAACTATGGGTCTTTATAGCTCTTTCCCTAAAGACAAGTGACTTCATGTTAGCAGCCTTCATGGCACAAATTAGGGTTTGAATTGGGAGGGACAAGATAGTGCTTTGTAGCCTATCACAAACAGAGGAATATACTATATAGTCTGGTGATATGAAACATGTATACTGGATTACCATGTCTAATTACTTCTCATTACTTAACTGTAGTAACGCCTGTATGGTGGGATGTGGAGGAATACAATGAAGAGGTAAAGACAAATCAAAATCATGATTTTGTGGCAGTTTCTGATGATTGATCTGATTTGATCTTGACTGACACTAAAATCATCAGCTGTAAAGCCAATAGTCAACAAATATTACGAATAAGTTATAATTATAATTATTATCCATTATCTAGTCATACTTTATAGTGTGCACTTGTTATTTTAATGTCATTATGGGCACTGTGCCTTCAGTTACAGGCAGTTATATAAACAGCCTATTATTATCATTTTATTACATTGATATAATACATTACCACACACGATGCACTTTCACCATGATATTCCTGGATATATTCATATTGTAACAACTCCTGTATTAACTTTCACTGTATGTGTGTTAAATCTCCATTTCAAAGACATGGCTATGCACATTAAGCTAATCTTTCCTTGTAACTAACTAAATCCTTTAGCTCCACCTTGAAACTGGATCTAAGTCAGGTCAGGACATAAGTGAAAACACACTGCCCTAAAACTTGGCCTTTGTGCAGAGCTGAGTGACTTTGTGCCAATCATCTGTGCATCCTGTGAACATGTGGAAGCATTCAGCTCATGTATAATCAGACTGCAGCTCTGAGCGTCCAACCACACTTACAGTGTTTTTCAGTGAGCTGCACCTCAGTTACACCTGCCATGTCACAGCCCACAGAGCTTTAAAGATCACTGTAATAACGGCACCAAAAACAACACACTGCGCCTGTTTAAACAAAGCTGTATTTTATTATTTCAGTGCATATACAACTCTTAAGTGGAAAAGTTTAACATGTTAAAATAAAAGAGTCTTGTGTATTGAATCTGAATTTCTCAGACTCAAATGGTGGCTCTGGACAATGTTTTGGAGAGGTAAATAATGTTTTACAATACATAAAATGGTAGACGTTGTCCTAAAATACATAAGCCTTGTCCTTAATTATGTATAGAGAAAAAACAGCTGATATCAAGTAAATTAGAACATTTCTGACACAGTTTATTATACAAAAAGTTTTAACTGGATGAGACTGAAAGTGCAATGAAAAAAGGAAACAATAATACCGTATCAGTAACATATGATTCTATTACTGTGAAACTGGTTTATGTTTAAAACTTTGAATGAAATACTGCAACAGCCACACACTAAAAGGTGAAGCTTAACTCTATACTGGCATTGCACACTGCCCTTGTGTCTTTGGGCAGGGCACTTAAATCCCCTTGTCTGTGTGATTGTAGGGCTGAATCCTCGTTTGGTAGTGGTCAGGTCATAACCGCAGAATAGCTGCCACATCTCTGCTCACCACCAGCTGAAGAGGAACACTGTGAAGACTGACATTTTATTGAACTGTCAGAACAGAATTGTCAGAACAGAAAAACAAACAAAACAAAGAACAAAAAAGAGACATACTATTTCTTTGCAAAATTAACAAATGAAAAAACAAAACTGACTTCTCTACAAAGTTTGTTATGTTACATGGCCAGAACAAATGTCAAACAGCCCTTTACATAAAAACAACTATCTTCCAAAATAAGGCATGAGACTGCATGTTGTGAACTATTTGACCTCTGTGACCAACACTGGTGCAGGTCAAAACACAGTCTCCAACCAATGAGTGGGCTCCGTCTCACCCTGATGAGAAGTGAAAGGCCTCGTCTGAACGTCAGTCAAAACACATTCAGCTGTACTGAGAGGCCAAACAGGATGTGACGCCCGTATAAGGAGCTTTGAAGTGCAGCCATTTTCAACATGTGAGAACAATTATGATTATGCTGAGCTGGATCAAGTTAGTCCTTATGCAGAATATTTTGTAGAATGTGTGGTTTAGTAATCAATCATTGCTATTTTGGACCGAGATTTGAAAAACACATCAACCTCATGTATTGCTATAGAAACTTGTATGATTCCTTCCCTTTTAAGGCTATTTTATTACAAGTATATTTTCGAAAAGCATTGAGGTAGAGAACACATTTGTCTGCATAGTTGCGAGCAATAAATCAACTCAACAAATATCTTTTTTTATGTGGAACAATTGAATTTTAAGTCCTATAAAGCTGAATGCGTAAATGCAATTAAAATGTAATGGTCTAGACATATTAAAACATGTTCTAATGTACCTTTTTCAGAAGAGTACAAAAGAGGTATCTCTTCTATTGGCGTTGGATCAGGGACACTTGCCAATTGCCATAAATGCATGTTATATGAAAGTTTACACTATTAAACAGTAGTAATTTTTATGTGTATATATATATATATATATATTATATGTGCCACTGCAATCCTTTGGACAGTGGCACAAGTTCATGCATAATTTTAAGAGTGTCCCTTTGGCAGTGAATGGGCAAAATATTTGTGCTGTTTACTTATCAAATTATAATTTTATATTTAGTGCAAAAGGACACAATCTCAGCTGCTAAAATGTGTATGGTGTTACATAAACTTTACCTGACCAGTCAGTGCCACACGCTTTGACAAAGTTTTACAAAGATGAGCTATATCCTGTCTTCCTGATTCCAGAAGGTGTGATTGACAGGTTGATAAACCAATCAGAGAGATGAATGGTCCATTCAGATGAAAACAAAAATGGTGGCTTAGGAGGGGAAAAAACCCCACAGAGGACTGAGAAACACCATGGATTTCTGTAGAATCAACAATCAAAGCACCAAACTTTTATATAAAACATAAACTGAGATAAGTTCCGAGAGGAGGTGTCTTCTGCATTTGAGAGACACATGATACACATTAGCGGCACATTTGGATGGGAGTTTTTACGAGCTCTTTGGTCTGATTCCAGATCCTTCTGGATTTGAACAGAATGTAGAAGGGACTGGCTGGTCAGACAAACATAAAGGAATGTTTTATACCGGCATAATGCACATATGGCACTACTGCAGTCTTGAAAGAAACATGAGGGGTTAAAGATACAGTACTTGGGAATTGTGAGGCAGGGTGTATTTTTTTGCATATTTGTCTCCATACGGTCCACATTCTACTGTTTAGGATATATAAAAGAGATTTCTGATCCAAAAGAGTTCCCTTTCTGCGACTTGAGGTCACATAGAGAAATTGTTATGATTAACTATTATGGCTAATTATCTAAATACTGTAATGGTATCAAAATACAACATGTGGCATTATGTGGTCAACTGTACTCAATGAAAAGCAAAAAGTAAGTGCTAAAATGTGAGATCCTTTTGACCAGCAAATGCATATATTAGCTTTTATGAAGTATTTTAAAAAGTGGCACGTGGTGGTGTGTTAAGCAAAGCCCTTCATAATAAACATATTGTGAACAACAACTGCCCTTTCAATCGGCCAGTCCTTCATAGATTTCAGTCTTTCTTTTTCAACATGGATCCAAATGTCCAACAGCACGGTCCACACAAGTCCCCAAGAGTCTCCAACCAGGTCCAATCACCAACCACAACATCTCAACGGGGGCTATGCTGCAATCCTCATGAGAAGTCTTATCTGTCTCCTTTCTTTTTCCCGGGCTTCCTACAAAATGGCCGACCTGGAAGTGGTGCAGCTTCCAAAACAAAGGCACATTTGATTTGTCTGTTTGTCAGATTTGGAGTCTCTTTGTGTGTCCTCAGATGATACAGGTGACCCCAGCGTCCTCCACGTGCCCACAGTTGGTCTTGCCCCATCCGGAGAACTCACACTGGTGGATGGTGTCTTCAGCCCCGGTGCAGGCCAGGTCGTCCATCCAGATGAGCCCAGCGCCTGCATAAGGACATGGGAAGCAAGGATTAATGAGAAGGTACTACAGACTTCATATATAAACATAGAAATACATATTACAATTAAACAAGTGATGTCATGATACTAACATTTACTAACAACTCGATTTTGATACTTTGATGCCTATAGATCGACTGATATTAGTTTTTCCATGACTGATTGTTTAGAGTCCAGAGAAACCGATGGCCAGTAAGCTCTAATTATATTTTTTGGCTGAAAAGTGGGGCAGATTTTCATTATTTTCCCCAAATTATGTCATTTAAATTTACTATACACTTAATCCAAGACCTATGTTATTAGGTTCTTTTTTCAGACATTTCAAGCGTTTGGGATACTGGGATACTGTCCTGAGGAAGTCGGACTGCAGATGGCGCTGTCATCCCGCCTCCTTCGGTAGGAAGACAGCGCCAAAACCTGTTTAAATCAGCTGACCAGACACGTCACAGTAACATCAAGTGACCACTCTGAGGAAGAGCACTAGTGAGCAGTTGAAATGTCAGGTATGAAAACAAATGCTTGGCCCAAAAAAAAAACCTAATATCATAAATTATCGGAAGACCAAACAAACCTCATTGGACTACTCCAAGACCTGTTTTACTGCAAACATTTAAGAAAGCAGTGTAGTCACGTTTTGTGCAATTAAGACTTTGTGTGTACTCTTTAGGCAGCAGTTTAGCCAAAACAAAATATCGGCCTGTAAGGGCCGATAGCCTACAAAATGCAAATATCGGCCCTCTCTCCATTATAATGGCCTTGTACTAGTTCTGTTATTTTTTGTCCTATTTATGTTTCTTGATACTTACAGTTTGGATTTTAGTATTGAGTATCATTATTTGACATCCCTAAAATAAAAATTTTCATTATATCTACAAGAGGAACAATATATATTTTTACATTGAATACCTCTGCATACTGACATATAAGCTGTCCAAAATAAATGATTTACGGTTGTGATTTTGGCCAAGAAAAACATAGAATATAGACAATTTGAAATGAATTCAGCTTGACCACTATCTGTCCAACATTATTCCAAAATCAAATTGCTCATCAGATAATATTAGATCTGATTATAAAAAGGCAGAATCCAGATGGTAACAGAAACAGAAACACTGGCTCATATCGCATAAACTCTAGTTCCTGTTTTGTCTTTTCAGAGGCTTCACAAAGCCCCAGTACATTTATCAACAGTTTATAGAGTCCGACAGCTGTGAGGACATCCAGGGAAGAGCACTCAGCTGTGTTGGTATAATAGTAACCTGAGAGGTGCCAAGTCTTGTAAAATAAGACGAAGTTGTCAAATTTATAAGCATCCGGTTTCCAGTCGAAACACTATGTAAACTATCACAGTTGTCCGGTATATTTTACAGCTGTTCTGCGAGATGTTTCGGTACCGGTGAGAAAAAGTAATGTATCCAAATCCCCCGCTGTTAACTAGACAGTAACGTGATATAAGGGCTGTGTCTGGACGTGCATCATGGGAGAATAAATGATAACTTCACATCATTATGAACACTTGAGAAACTCTTTGGCTTCCATGCACCACCAGGACTCCATCAAGACAAATTTGCAACAAAACTAAACTTGGAAGCAGTCTCTATGTTGTTTAGAGCAGTTTTTCCCACGGTCATGCACAGACCTTGAGATTGGATGCCAAATACGACTGTTACCATGGAAACCGGCCATGTTTTTTGTCAGCAATGCAAATCCACTGCCATAAACAACCTGAGAAACTGCTGAGTCACTACAACACATTTATCTAATATCTGAAAACTTTTTAATCTAGGATAAACGTAGTATTTAACATCTTAAAATCTCCATTGGTTTAAAGGTGCATTGTGTAACGTTTCTGGTGGAGGGTCAGTCGAATGCTTTTTTTCCCCTGGAGATCTTATTGCTTTGCAACACTATTGAGTTATTGAGCAACATTTTGAGGAACCATTCAAAAGATATAATATTTTAATTTGAATTCGTACCATATTTTTCAGACTATATGTTGCACTTTTTTCATGGTTTGGGTGGTCCTGCGACTTATACTCTGGTGCGACTTATATATTAAAACTTTCACATTGACAGCCACAAGAGGGCGCTCTAGGCTTGTGTGTCACTATCTGCTACTCCTATTACTCCTGTACCACTGTCACGTGGCTCTGCTGCACATGTCTCCTGCACCATTACATCTGAAACACTGAAAATTTTTAATTTAAGTGACTTGAGTGACAACTGAAACCATCCTGTTGGGATTCAGAATGCCCAGAATACTTCTAACTGGAACTGATGCTGAGTCTGAAAACAGCTACACAGAAGAGGAAGCAGTGCTCCATTTACCCCTGGAGGTTGTGGAGTTGTTCAAAAGTGACAAAGAGAATGAAGAATTTAATGGATTTAGTGATTTGGAGTGAGATGGAGAGTTTGGTAAGCTTGTTCTCTTCTGTTATTTATTGTTGTTATCTGGATAATGGTTCATATGTGACGTTAACAGTCTGTTGTTCTCTGTTCAATTGTTTTTACCATAACTTGCCTTTCAAGATAAAATGTCAGCCCCTGGTCTCTGATTTTATAAAATAAATTTCCCCCATAAAGTGTGACTTATAGTCCGGTGCAACTTACATATGTTTTTCTCTTCTTCATTACACATCTTTTGGCTGGTGCAACTTTTACTCCAGAGCGGCTTATAGTCAGAAAAATAGGGTAATTGCTTTGGTGGCAGTGATCATTTTTAATCACTCTGAAACCCATATACAGGAAAAGTGACTGAGCACGTAAAAGGCAGGCACATGTAGTCATAATGTTTTACCTCATGTAGAAATAAACTGAACTAATTTAATGTGAAAGTCATCAATTTCCTTTTTGGGCTAATGTTGCCTAATCCACTGTAGGCTGATCTTTGGCGCTGAGAGGGGTGAGTCAGGGGGTGTACACAGGGGAGAGCGCACGTGGCTCTTTGTTTTTATTATGGAGGCCAGCTGTTCCCAGTGCAGTTCTACTCCAGTGCTCTTTAAAAAGGTTTACTCTGCTCTAGCACATTTACTACATTAGGCCCAGGGCCAAACGCACAGATAGAGGGACAATAAATTTTGTTTTTGAATCAGTTGAGTCATCAGGATGAGTTTTTACGATATCGCAAAGAGGTCTGAGTTTTTGCATGTTTATGTGGATGTCATTGGTATTTCTGTTATTTTAAGAATTGTAAACTGCTAACACGACAACTGTTGAGCCCCATAATTAACTAATAAATGTTGTTTAGAGACAAATTTATAGACAATTTAAAAGTACACTATGTAACTTTTTTGTTGGAGGATCTGCCACCTGCCTGTCTTCATGGAAATGTTATTGCTTTGTCTGCAATAATCCACAGTATGGCATTGACCTTATCTATCCATGAAGACAATCGGGACACGACTAAGCCAAGATACCAGTTACCAGATACTACCAGAAATAAAAACACACATTAGCAAATAAATCTTAGACAGCTACTGTGTCAAAAATTAAACATCTCTATGGAGACAAGCATAGTGGGATGTAACAATAACTGCAATATTGTGATATTGTATCGTCAAAGTTCTCACAATAATATCGTGGACCATTACAATATATCGAATTACAAGTCTCTTTACTTAAATTAAGAGCTATGGTGCAGCAATAACTAAAAAAGACAGAGGGAACTACATAGACCGTGATTCTTTGCTCCATTTCAGTGTAGACTACAAGAAGAAATAACAGTTCTAAGCACTTTTAAGTCTTAGTTATTTGAATTAAATATCATATCGTATTGGATATCGTTACACCCCTATGGACCCCGTATCAGAAAAGTTACATAGTGCACCTTTAATTTCTTGACAGTTGAAGCCTGATACATTTGCCTTCGAACTTATCACCAACCAATCCAAATTGCAGTCTGCTATATTTTAAATCAAAAACAGTGAAACAATGAGACCCTATACTTCATCTGTACTCCATCTTACCACAACAGAGCAGAAAAACAACTGCAAGTAAAGTAAAGTTTATTTATTCAACCTTCAGTACGTCAATACTTTTTTTAACATTAATTTGGCAATATGTCTTGCCTGGTGGTTGAAATACAATTGAAAAATGAGTGTTTTCTCAAAGAGCAATTTAACCTTTAATCACTTCTATACACAATATCATATTACTGATACTGAATTAAAATACTTTTGCCCTGGATTTTGTCTGCAGGCATTTTCTGGTCTCACATCTCACTCTCACTGATGCCTTACATTTTCTGATTGTGAGGTCAAAATATCTGCCGCACTATTGTTTACGTTCATGGTAGAATGCATCTCACCTTTGCACTGTATTTTAGCTGTCTTCTGTGACATGTTTCAGACCTGCTTTTTTTTTTTTTCTGGAAAACCTGCGGTCAACCCAGAGGAGTCCTACATGATGATGATTAGTCATGGTTTAGTTAAGCCCTCGGTACAGGATAGACTCAAGAGGCCCCAGGTTTCCAAAACATTTGCTGCAATTGGTTACAGCCTCAACCAACTTCATAATAAATGTGCACATGTTATAATTTATGTAACCCAGGAAAAATTTGGGGGATTTTTAAAGTTTACTGAAAGCCAGATAATGGTAATAGAATAAGGAAATTCAATAGGAGGTCATACTGTTGCAATTTGATTCTGGGCAATATTACAGTTGCCTCAAAAGTCTGATAAGAGATTTTTACCGTGCTCTATATTTGAGTACCGTTTTTGACAACTGATAAGCAAGAGTGAGAAGTTATCTTCAAGACTGTTTTTATCCTGGGTTTGGACAGATACAATAACTACCATCTCATTACTGCTTGCATGTGGTTAACAGATTTACAGTTACTTTCTTTGTGTTACTTTGACTTCATAATCATTACAATTTGTTTATCACACAGAATAGGCTGTAAAACTTCCAAAACTGGTTCCTGCTTTGACACCACACCTAGGCTTGTCACGATAACAAATTTTGAAGCATGATATTTTGCTACAGAGAAATGTAATGATAAATGATAATACTTTTTCTGTGAAAAAAAAAAAGACCAAAAGACAAAGCTCTTGATTTACCAGACAATCTACGATCCTCCCCTCACTGATGGTCATGAGCCTTGGGTAATGACAGAAAGAGCAAGATCGCGGATACAAGCCGTCGAAATGAGTTTCCTCCACAGGGTGGCTGGGCGCACCCTTAAAGATAGGGTGACAAGCTCAGTCACACGGGCGGAGCTCGGAGTAGAACTGCTGCTCCTCCACGTTGAGAGGAGCAGCGAGGAGGTGTTCCGGGCATGTCCCACTGGGAGGAGGCCCCGGGTAAGACCCAGGACACACTGGAGGGACTATGTCTCTCGGCTGGCCTGGGAACACCCTGGGGTCCCTCCGGAGGAGCTGGAGGAAGTGTTCAGGGTGAAGAAAGTCTGGGAGTCCCTACTTAGACTGCTGCCCCTGTGACCCAGCCCCAGATAAGCAAAAGAAAATGGATGGATAGATAATACTGAAACAATTTTATGACTCTGACACAATAACAATAAAGCAAGATAATCCCAGTGAACTTTAAAAAAATATCAGTATAATTTAAATGCATGAAATAAATAGCAGAATGAAGAAACAATTGGACAGAGAAATGACTTATTCAACCCTCTAGATCTAAAATCTTATCGCATACAATTAAAACAACAAAAACCTCCCCATTAATGCAAATAAATTGTACACACGATAAACGTTGAGCACAAGAACATGTTGTTCCAGCTATCATATATTGAGTGATATAGTAATTATCGATACAGGCCTAACCACACGAGTTGTCATATTGTCATTGCTTTTGTTATTTTCAGTTAAATCCGTCCGTTTTTATGGCCATATTGTGGTATTGTGATATCTTTCCAGAGTTGAAGTGTATGACCGCACAATTGGACAAAAACTGAATGATGTCAAACTACAAAATAAAACATAAAAGATGGATAGGACCTCCGAGGCTGTGTCCTGACGAGTTTTGGCATAAGCTACTTTCACAATAAAAGCACAATATGAACCCGTGGGGAGATTTAAGATCCTGGTTAAGCCACAGCAGCTGACAGGAGAAAGTGCAGAGCTTGTAAAACAGAAATGCTTCCATCAGTGAGTTTTGGTGAAGACGCACTGAGCACAAGCACTTTTTCACTCTGCTCATATTAAGAAACCGAGATGTTTTTTTCTCACAGTTTAAACTCTGACCTCTCAAGACTAAGGAGTCATTATCATCAGATCTGCAGAGGTCATCAAGTCCAAGGTTCGAAAACAGAAGTGTCATCAAATACAGTGTCCTGGGGGAAGTTGACAAAATTGGCTTTCACAGTCAAAAGCTCCATAGATCAGCACGCTAACATGTAGGGTCATGCTGTATGGCAAAACATACAAACAAACAAAAAAATCTAATTGTGAGCTTGATCTTGAGCTGCTATTTTGCTAAAATTGTGAAACTGTCTTATTTTGACTCAACAATTTTCTCTGAGTGACAGGTGGGTTTTGCCATTTACAATGTTTCTGAGGAAGCAGCTGACTTTATTTACCTCTTCACAGCAACATAAAGATACTAAATGTATGTGAATTGTGATCAAATCCAAGAAAATTCAGTTTTTCATAATAGATCATGTACTCCTACTTCATGCTGTAATTCGTACTACCACAACGGCATCTGTTCTTGGGCAAGACACCATAAAACTTTCTATAAGACTGAGGCCATAGGAGCAGAATGGCAACCATGTCTCTGCCTCAAAGCTGGTACGGGCAGTAAAAAGCTTATCTCCATCCAATCACTGTGAATGGGACTGAGGAGTAAAGTATAAAATGTAAAATATACAGTACCAATAATAATACATTCACATTTTGTTGCAAGTGTTTTTCCTGTTTTGAAAAATTTGGATGAACATAAAAGTCTTCCAAGGTGACAGTTTTGATTATGTTGGCAAAATGCTTGCCTAATGATCACGTCTCCACAGCAACAGTGTCAACAACCAGCATCTGTGCACCAGATCATACGTTCACTTGGCAACATTTGTATAGCTGTTCAAATCACTGTTTACTTCCAAGCTGACAAAGCAAAACAAATTCTGTGATAATTTGTGCTTTTTCCACCACCAGAGTGCTCCTTAAATCCATCCAGATAGTTTGATGACATTCAAATTTGTTCTGCTTTTATGGTGAATAGTAAAATGTTATCACCAAAGATATGGACTTGTCCTTGCTACTTTCTTCTGTCCAGGATTTTTCCGAAGAACATCATCACTTCCTAATGTAGAAAACTTACCATGAAACAGTTTTTCCAACAATTCTGCTCTGTAAAGTACATTTCACATCCTGTCATCCCGTTTGAACAGCTTCCAGAAACTTTAGCCACTAGAACTGACAATGAGATCTACAAGCCACAAACTTCAACAAATATGCACCATTGTAATTTTGTTTTCATGGTCAGTTTAATGCAAAGTTAATTAAATAGAAATAGAAAGCTGTTAATCTGATTTGAGTATTTAATTTGTGAATTCAGCCTGGAAGACATAACTTTGCTCCCTCACCACTTGTCTAAACTCCTCCTCAGCTCCTCAGTCTTCATCACCTCACTCCAAATACTCCTTGCCACCGCTTGCCGCACCTTTTCAGGGCCCAGTCTGATCAATTTAAAGCTCCAATGCAGACGCACGGGCACTTTGGTTTTTGTTGTGCTCCACCTCCTCCCCAGCACCCCCCCAGCTTCTCAACATTTCGTCATCCTTTGATCGTCCCCTTCACTCTTCCTGCATATTTACAAGTACATGTTTTTCTTTTGCATTATCTTGTCCCTTTAATAAATAAATACAAATACTGTCCTCATCCTCTCATTGTTTCATTCACTCCCCATGGGCCTCACCTCTACCACCTCCAGTGTCCAGGCCCCGGATGAAAGACCTCTCCTAAATGTCGTCTAATCAGCCACGCCCTTCATCGTAATGTCTCCTGCCTTAGCACCAAAGATAAATCACCCAATAAAGCTACAAATAATTTCTCTTTGTGTCTGAGTCTCTCCAGGTTGAATTTATATTTAGTCTATTCCCAGTCTAGTACCTTGTCCGAAGCGTCCAGTCTTGTGCACCTCCGCTGCTCCCCTGTGTCCTAACATGCGGCAGACCACGTCCCCGTCCTTCTTGTCCCACATGTCGTCACACACCGTGCCCCAGCGCTGCTCATGGAACACCTCCACCCGGCCCTCGTGTGGCCCCGACCCGTTCACAAGCCGCACAAGGGTCTCCTCCACTGGAAAACACAGAACATGGATAATCAATATTATATAAAATATTCGAGAGACAGATTTGTTGATTAGTAAAGGAACTGTACAATCAAAAACAGAGCCTTAACCTGTAGATAGATACAAGTTTTTCAGCAAATTAACTGATTAATGATTGGCTTCAGGCGCTGGGTTTTAGAGGATTCAGATCAGAGAGAGTCGTTTTAGGTTTAACTGGATTTCAGCATTGAAACTGGCAACCCAAATGAGAGACTTGCGTGAGGATCATTCTGCTTTCTGACTGGATAATAGTCCTGAGAACCAAAACACAGAATTGGAAGACAAACAGCTTGGCCATCATGTCCAGTGTGTTTGTAATTAAGAATAAATCATTACAGTAAAATAAGTAAAAACTGTACTTGACTTCACCATGTCTGTCTCGTTTCTATGGACACAGTTTGATTTGTTTATAGATTTTAAATTGCAATCTTAATACAATACAGTTTCTTTTTTTTTTTTTTCATTTTGTATACAGCATCCCAAGTTTTGAATGCTGCAAAATTGAACTTGGTAGGTGAAAAAACACAAAAATAAAGCATTAATCCTCATCAGCATATTTCACAAAACCTATCATCTTTTGCCAAAAATGCTCAAATATTCATCTGTTTTGTGTTGGCATGGCTCAAAGTCACGCGTCTTTCAATAAAACAATATGAAAACACATGGTGGAACAAAGAGAGTTTGATGAGATTCGACATAAACCACAACAAAAAAGCTGATTTTCTTTCTAGTGAAGTTTTAATAAAAATGTGTTTTTGTGTCCCCACATCACACTGCATCATGCCCTGTAAAGTAAATTTCCATTGATCTTTAATTTATTTGCTGGAGTTTGCCACCTGTTTCCATGGAGATGTTACTGCTTTGCCGAGAATGTTCCACAGGATGGCATTTAACTTATTTATTTCCATGAAGAGAAACAAATAATGCCACCAAGCCAAGTGACAGGTCAGATCTGTGAAGAGGCAACCTCACTCAAGGTAGGAATTTTGAACAATAAAAATAACTGTGATACAACACAAGACAAACAAGTTTGATACTGTAATAATGTAAAATGTTCCAGGCAAGGAAATAACATCTCTATTCGGGATGTACACTGGCTGGCAAGTGCAAAACACTTTTACATTTCACAACACATATTAACAAGTTTGAAAATAAAATTACATTTAAAATACACATTTACATCTTAAAAACAAATTCCAAGTTTCATAAAACACATGAATGAACAAGGAAGTGTTTGACAGAAAGGGAATGTCCTAAAAAGTGGAAATGACGAATGACCATAACATTTGTTTTGCTCAGGAGTAGTTCACTAATGCTAGTCATTGTTCTCCTTTAAGCTTTCATCTTTCTTACTTTAATAGTTGTGGATAAATTCTTCATGGAAGAATGTTTATTCTTTGTTGTACCTTGTTGGTTGAAGATTTGATGATGGGGCAGATTTATGAAGCTGATGCAAAATACATTTTGCCATAGAAAACCATTAACTGGAAGTTACGTTTACCCTACGTTGCTGCACTTTCGACCGTTATGAAAAAGGTCTATGTGTTTCGGGGTTTTATATTTGTGTTTTTTAAATTTGCCTCTACGCTTCTACAACTGTGTCGAGTTTTGTAAATTTATTTGCTAATTTGCAAATGTGTTTTATGAAACGTAAATTTGTTTTCAAGATGTAAATGTATATTTTAAATGTAATTTTGTTTTCATACTTGTTCATGTAGAAGTGTTTTGCAGTTGCCAGCCAATGTAGGGACGTAGCAATAACTGAAATATCGTGACATTGTATCGTCAAATGTCTCACAATAGTATCGTGGGCCATCACAATATATTTCGAATTACAAGTTTCTTTCCTTAAATTCCTTAAATGTTATGGTGCAGCAACAGCTTAAAAACAGACAGAACTACGTAGACCATAATCCTTTGCTGTTTTAGTCCAGTCTACATGATAAAACAACTGTTATTAAGCACGTTTAAATTCTAATAATTTGGATTATGACAAGAAAAGTAGCATATTCACAATTTTGTTAAAAAATATCACAATAAATATCGTGAAATCGTGAATGCATATCATGAAAATATCATATTGAGAGATTTTGGATATTGTTACATCCCTACTCTCCATAAGCACATGACAACAAAACCAAAACAGCTACATAGTGTGTCAGTTTTTTACATGTTACTTTTGAATTTCCGTGCTGTCATACATTTTATTATTCTGAACCATTGCCAGATAGAGCCAAAAATACCAACTTCCACCACAAGACGTCAGTATTGGGTATATCTGTAGCTTATCTCTGTCAATGTAGCTATATATGTGCAGCAGCTGCGTCAATATCAAACATGTCTTATACTTCACAGTGGCAACACAAATGTCCAGACGCTCTTAAATGCACCATGGAGTGAATCCAGACACGTAACCACCATGGGATATTAGTCTCATCAGACCATCATAAATTCACGTTTGTAGGTCTTCCCTTTCACTAGCTCATCGTGATTTAAGACTTAGCACAACATTACGCTACACGTCTGTAAAAAGTATGTCATTACAACCACATACATTGCGTTTCCCACAATCCTACACTGATTATCTAAATGAAATATTTTAAGTTTTGGTAGAGGTCAGGGTTACGCGCTGTTTTGTCAGTTCGTACATTTTCTGGCACTAATGAAAGTCTCTGGGGATGTAAAGGAGAAGTCCACATGTATAAGCTCCAGACTTAATCAAAAACCTAAAACACGTGTGTCCCTGTAACATGAACTGTAAAGGGCAAAAAATGGACAACATGATAAAGAAGTTGGGGGGTATTCGTACGGGAGGTAGTGTTTTGTAATGGTAGTAACTTTGAAAACTGTGATCAAAATAACCAAAGCTAGTAATGATATAAAAGTACTGTATATATGTGGTACTTTGTGACTGTTGCGTGTCTACTAGTTACCCGCTTTAACCTATTTTTATTGTTAGAAAGGGGTCATTTTAAGACAGAAACACAGAATCAAAAGGTTGTGAAAAGGTGATTGATAGTGGCCCATTCATGTAAGGTCAAGACATCTTACAACAATCATAGAGTTCCTCCCCAACAAAAAAAGGGGGTAATGTACAGTAGATGCTACACTTTTCTCTTGGATTATACTTTCTTTACTTCTAGGGTTGTGCAATTAAACAAACATAATAATAATTACTAATAAACTGTCAATAACATACTTAGTTTTTTTTTGACTGAGTCCTTGTATTGCAAGTCTCAAGTAAGTCGCAAACCTTTGACCTCAAGTCCGAGTCAAGTCCCAAGTCAAATACAGGCAAGTCCAAGTCAAGTCTCGAGTCACTGGCCCATAAGTTCAAGTCAAGTCCAAGTCATCTGCTTTGAGCTTCAAGTAATTTCAAGTCTTTAAACCAAAGTACCAAATATAGCTTAGATTTTTGCAATTTTTACTTTTAAACTAAATTGTACTTAAAAAAAACATGGTATATTTATATAAGAGTATTTATGGAAGAATAGAAATTTATAGAAGAAGTTGTAGAAATGCGAAATGTCTTGACAATATCTTAGTGTAAATCATTATGGTCAGAACAGAAAGAATTAAGTTTTAAGAGTGTTTAATAACAGTTATTTCGTTATGTAGTCTGCACTGAAATGGAAAGATCAAGTTCTTTGTAGTTCCCTCTGTTTTACTGTATCGTACTGTATATTACAGTAGTACATTTGAGGATACCACATCACAGTACTTCAGTTACATCCGAAGTAACAAACAGAGAAGTAGGAGGGACATGTTACAGTTTGTTCCTGTAAAATTAACCACCATGTGTATCAACTGTAAAGAGAAAAGTATTTTCTAAAAACATATCTTTTTTTTGGAGAAGCATAAAATCTCACAGGCCTCAAGTCCCAAGTCACTGACCTTCAAGTCCAAGTCGAGTTCCAAGTCTTAGTCCATTTTAACAAGTCAAATCTCAAGTCGTAAAAATAGTCCAAAAGAGTCCAAGTCACAACTTGTAAGTCCCCATCTCTGCAGAGAGGTTTACAGCCAGTCCTCAGTCAGTACAAGTGTGTGGTTTGGAAGCGAGTTCATGCATTGGAAGAATAAAATTTTTGTTACCATTGATTATATGTCTGTAATTTTTATGTTCGTGAAATTAATATTGAAATCCCATTTGATTTGTTTCTAATAAAAACAAAACAAAAATCAAATCTAAAATCAAGATAAAATCAATACAAGAATTACGGTACAATCTGCCTTCTGTTTAAAAGTAAAAGTATTCTTTATTCAAGCAAGAGATCAAGCCAATCAAATGTTTCCTCAGGGCAGGACTTATCTAGCTCAGTGAAGTTTCTCGGGCCAGGTTTGAAAATTACTTCTGGATGAGAACCAAAACATCTTGATTTCAAAAACAGACCTTTTAGATTTTTTTACGAATACAATTCAATAACAGTTTTGAGTAATATTGGCAATCCCTACTTTCTACATACCTTAGTTTTCAATGCCAGACATATTTTATACTTTTTCAGAGAAACTGTAGTCACGTGATTCTTACCCACAACTCCCTGTGAGAGATATTTCCAATTAATGACTCGTTCACCAATCACTAATGAATTTCCTGTAAAACGATGTTCCAAAATCGTCTCTTCTTGATTACAAATTTGAAGGCACATTAAGACTGTGGTGTTGAACAAAGGGAGCATTTCCAGTGGAGACAACCTTAACGTGGAACTGTCACTGTCTGATGAAACGCAGAGCCAAAAGAAATGTGTTTTACTAATGTACTTTTGGCTTGGAGACAATGCTAACCAAGTCCTTATGTAATCTGGATATTCCCCTAAAACTACTCTTTTCTTGGTTGTCTTTTGTGGACATTTGATGCTATTGGCTCTCTGCACACATCATTTCTGGCCCAACATCCTGTTTTGCAATATTTGAATAGAAAATCTTATTTAAATCAGTAGAAAACTCGCTGCATGATTCTCCAAAACAAATC